TTATGAGCCTCAAATAATTAGGTAAGCATAGCTTTAAGTCATTTTCCTGTGCTTCTGATGAATTGAAGTATCCATCAATTTTGGGGGTTGCTGCTGAAGACACGATGTCCTGATTTATGTTGGATGTGTTCTCTCACCTACCCCCGGCCATTGGCTTATCTGAAACCTACCTTGTTTGTTTCTGGATTCTGCAGTTCAGACTGGTACTGTCTCTCTCTGGCATCTGGAGAGTTCTTCAGGAAGCTGAGAGAGGTCCCGTGGCCTCAGCATGTGCATTTTTCCAGTATCTATACCTGTGGGAGGAAAGTACGCAGGCACAGAAGGACAAGTGCAGGCTTGCCTGCACGTTCATGTGTGCTAGCAGGTGCTGGTGATGGTCGCTGTGCAATTTCTGGCATTAACTGCCTTAACTCCTCAGTTGGACCCGCAGAGCAGGGGCTTCAATGTCCAAGTGACCCTGTTTCCCACAGTGGGTATGTGGATGAGAGCGGTCTGATGCCTGGCTTCTATTTTAGAAGGATCCTGGATCTGGGGCTCTGCAGACACTCAAGAGCACACTCACTCTTAAGCAGGTCACGTCAGCAGGGATCGGGGTATCTGGGCTCTCTGCTCTCTGTTTTGGCCCTGCTTGGTCCGCAGGAGGACTGATACACTCTGCCAGCTCAGTGCTGCTGTCACCTCCAGGCTAGAAAGTCCAGCTGCAGCTGGAGACTGGGATGTGATGACTTCTGGGAGGTCCTGGGTGCCCTCCACTGTGCTTTCCAAGCCTGGGAGGCCCAGTGCCTGGTGTGCCTAGTTTGTATGGTGGGTTTGCTGGGCTTCGGTGACTATATAGCAAATTATCTGTCTCTTAGGGTTTGGGCGGGCTGTTCAGTCAGTGGCTAGGCGACCCTGCAGAGCCAGTATGGCCGCTAGTAGAGTTGGGTCCCTAGGAAGATGGTGCTGAGGGTCTGGGACTTCAAGACTGGTACTGCTGGCAGTTGCCGCTAAGGGGCTAGGGGCTCCATCTTAGGCTCTGCAGACCACAGGCCGTGAGCTCTGAGCTGAGAATCTCGGTGAGCTGGCTGTGCCAAGGAGGAGGGAGGTCCGAGAAAGGGGAGTGCTGGGAGATCAAAGGATCGTTTCTCTCCTTCCCCAAACAAGTCCCTGGGTGACCCAAGACCAAAGTTCTCACCTCCTGCGATGTTCCCTGTCATTCAGAAGGCCTCTCGGTCATTTCCCTGGCTTCAGAAGTCCTTCCACTTACCCACTCAGGTATTCAGCTCTTCCATAGCTCAGAAACTGTGCATGCTAGTCGTCATCTTGGCTCCACCCCCCCGAATGGACACAATTTAAAACAAATAAAAATACATGCATCAAGTTGATATAAAACACATCCTTTCGTCTGCTGATATTAAGCAATCACAATTTTTTTCTTTTTTTATGACCTTCAAAGGAAGTATTTTGAATGTATTTTGGAAGACTCCATATTAATGTAAGAATGTATTTTATGGGTAGGCATATTCTTGAGCAACCTCAATTTAGGATATAGTTCAAGAATATGATGAACATTCACATATTGAGATGTTTTAAAAGGATAATGTGAAAGACAGGAAGTTTCTGGCAAGCTAAGCTTACATCATAAAAACATAGGAACATCTTTTGGCCTATCCAATTTTCTCCATTATTATTTTGGGGAAGGGGTTAGTACTCTTTCCTTTCTTATTTCTATTAGCTTATATTAAGCATGCAGCATAGAGGTTTCATGATGATATTATTGTATACCTGCATGTTATTTGACCACAAAATGACACTTTGAATGAGCTTTCCCCCACAAAGCGCCTGCTTCACTTAGTGTATGGTGAATTCCCCTTGAGAAGTACTTTCAGAAGTATCCCTCACTAATGGCTAAGCCATAGGAATATTCTAGAAACATTTCAACCAAAACCAGTATTTCTTTGTTCCCATAATTCCATCATGTGTTTCTTTTCCCAGCCTTAGGTCAAGGAGAGTTCTCTCATATTTGGCTGGGTGAGCCAAGTATTCCCAACTGCTTTCCCATTGCATCCCTCCATCTTCCCTATTCTAATCCCTCCCTCTTGGCCTGCTGTTAGAAAGTAAAATCTATCTATCTGTCTATCATCTATCTATCTATCTATCTATCTATCTATCTATCTATCTATCTATCTATCTATCTATAACTGTTATCTTTATTTATTTACTTGATTGCTTCTAGCTCAATCATATTTCTGATCTACCTCTTCTCCTGTTTCCACCCTCTGTCCCTCTTCTCTCCTTCCTCTACTCTCCCCCTCAGGAAAGGTGGGGGGGGGGACTAACCCACCAAAGCACTTCAAATTTCCTCAGGACTGAGCACATCCTCTTCCATGGTGGCCTGGCAAGGCAGCCCCACAGGGGGAAGTGATCAGAAAGCATGCAACAGAGTCCATATCAGAAATAGCCCCTGCTCCCCTTACTAGAATCCCACAAAAAATAGCAAGTATTGCATTTGGTATTTTTGTTTAGGCACCTAGATCAGTCCATGCATGGTCCTTGGTTGTTGCTTCAGTCTCCTCAAGCCCTTGTGGGCCCAGGTTAGTTGGCTCTGATGGTGTTGTAAAAGTCTTGTTCACTCTGGGTCCTTCTATCCTTCCTGCAACTCTTCCACAAAGCTCCCTACTCTTCACCCAATTTTTGGCTGTGACTCTCAGCATCTGTTTCTACCCTTTGCTGGATGGAGCCTGTCAGAAGACAGCTGTGTTAGGCTCCCATCTGCAAGCATAGCAGAGCCTTTGTGAGTGTCAGGGATTGGCTCTCACCCATGGAGTGAGTTTTAGGTTTGGTCAGGATATTCCCTCCGTCTCTGCTTTATATTTATTCCTGCACATCTTGCAGACGGGGTAATTTTGGGGTCTATTTTTTTTTTGTTTTGTTTTTGTATTTTTGTTCCACCTCTTTCAACTAAGAGCCCCATCTAGTTAAAGGACAGACTCTTCAGTCTCTATTATCCCCTGCTAGAAAGTGTCTCAGCTAGATTCACTCCTGTATCCTCCCTGTAGCCTACCCTGTTGTAGGTCTGTAGCTTGTCTCAGAAATGCCTCCTTCCACAGTTTCTCTTCTCTCTGCAAGTCTTCTGTCTTCCCAATCCTGTTCTCCCCATATCTACTCCACACCCTTGTTTCCCTCTGTACTCCCTCTTCTATCTACTTCTGTCTCTTTAACTACTTCTGCTGCCTATTATATTTCCCCTTCTGAGTGAAATTCAAGGACCTTCCTTTGACCCTGTTTGTTACTTAGCTTCTTTGGGTCTGTGAACTGTAGTATTATTCTGTATTATATGGCTAAAATTTTCTTATAAATGAGTACATAGCATGTGCATCTTCTGGGTCTGGCTTACTTGACTCAGGATGGTCTTTCCCAGTTCCATCCATCTGCCTGCAAATGTCATGATTTCCTTGTTTTGAATAACTGAGTAGTATTTCATCGTATAAATGAACCACATTTTCTTTATCCATTCTTTTTTTTATTTTTATTTTTTTCTTATCAGTTACATTTTATTAACTCTGTATCCCAGCCGTGTCCCGATCCCTCATTCCCTCCCAGTCCTTCCCTCCCTCCCTCATCTCCACCATGCCCCTTGCCAAGTCCACTAATAGGGGGGACCTCCTCACCATTCATCTGATCCTGTTTTATCAGGTATCTTCAGGACTGGCTGCAAAGCTCTCCTCTGTGGCCTAACAGGACGGCTCCTCCCTTGGGGGGTGGGGAGGCCAAAGAGCCAGTCATTGAGTTCCTGTTAGAAATAGTCCTTGTTCCCCTCACTATGGGAAACCAATTGGTTACTGAGCTACCACAGGCTACATCTGAGTAGAGCGGACATGGGGTAAGATTATCAATCCTCGTTTAGAAAGACAGATGGGATGTGCATTGAACATATGACAGGAGTCTACTGAGCGCATTTGAAAGACTCTAACTAGCAGTGTTTTCTTTATCCATTCTTTATTTGAGGGACATCTACGTTGTTTCCAATTTGTTGGCTATTACAAACAAAGCTGCTGTGAACAAAACTGAGCAAATGTCCCTGTTGTATGATGGAGCATCTATGCCCAGCATTGGTATGGCTGGGACTTGAGGTAAAGCAATTGTTGCTAAAACAGACTTGTTATATTATTTTTACTCCTAGAACTATGCTTTGGTGTATCAGAGCATTGAAGATTCGCTTATAGATATTGTTTAGATCAGTATGCACACAGCTCTTAAAATAAAACCCTGAGTTTTTGTAACTAAGCAAACAATTGGAATAATTTTTTGTCCTCAACACTATTTGGCATATTGAGGAAAAATGTGTGTCAGAATTCTCAGATATGTACCAAAGTCATTTTAATTTCAGTGCTGTATAAGATTAGATACTTTGAGCTTCCTTGAATTTGTTTTTCTTCTCCAGAATCTCGATTAAGACAGGGCTCAACAAAAATAAAAATACTCAAGTTCCACACAGAATCGACAGGTTTGTTGAGGACCCATGATCTGCATCCTGTATAGAGTCTGCTAACTAGGTTTACTAGGAAATAATGACAAAAGATAAGGTTTCAAAGAGAACCAGGTTGATACTTGCAATTTATTAATTAGAAAGAAGAGCAAATTCCTCATTTGTATAGAGAAAGGGATATTATTCTGAACATTTGGACAAACACATAAAAATTAGGCTAAGAGGAAAGGAGGGATTTTTTCCTGGACACAATGAATAAACAACAGTGTAAAACAGTCATGGCATCTATGACATAGCGACAGCTCACTGGCGAAGCTATAAGAAAATTGTAACACCCATAAATACACTGTTCAGAAAACTATTCACAGACAACTGCACGATTGTAAACCAGGAAGCACACAAATGAATGAAGAATGACAATGTGGGGTACCACACCTTCTACTGAGGGTATATAAGCCCAGCTCTCCTCGGGGTGACATTCAAACTCAGACTCTCCCTGTTACATCCAGCTGAGCTCACATCTCCACTCAACATGGCCTACAGCTGCTGCTCTGGAAACTACTCCTCCCGCTCCTTTAGGCACTGCCTGCCCTCCTCAGGATCCTCCTGTGGCTCTTCCTACCCCAGCAACCTGGTCTACACCACCAGCAGCTGCTCTCCCAGCACCTGCCAGCTGGGCTCCTCTCTCAACAGTGGCTGTCAGGAGACCTGCTTTGAGCCCACCAGCTGCCAGAGGTCCTGTGTGATGTCCAGCCCCTGCCAGATGCCCTGCTACTACCCCAGGAGCTGCACACCCTGCAGTCCCTGCCAGGGCACATATGCTGGGTCTCTGGGCTTTGGGTCCAGCAGCTGCTGTTCCCTGGGCTATGGATCTAGAAGCTGCTACTCCGGAGGCTGTGGGTCTAGTGGCCTCAGATCTCTGAATTGTGGAGTGTCTGGCTTCCCTTCCCTCAGATTTGGGTCCAGATATTGCTACCCAAGCGTTTTCTCTTCCCGTTCCTGCCAACCTTGTTACAGACCAATCTGTGGATCAGGCCTCTGTGGATTCAGCTGTTAAGTCTTTATGCTCTCATATGTCAGGCTCTGCTCTAAAGCTGTATTTTTCCTGTTTCACCCTTACCCTTATTCTATCATCCTTACAATAACATTTACCTTAGTCTCCAAATTCCCACAGATTCTGATATTAGCAGGTATCCCAACATTATGCTCTACTCTCTGTAATGTTGATATATACAAATGCTATTTGCTTTCTATCCTGGGACATTTGAAAAAAATGAAAATTTTCATCTAATAAACTTGTGCAACCTGATATTTCCTGTATTGTTCACATTATTATTATTTCACAAAAGCAAAAATTAATCAAACATATGTATTTTGGTGTTTTTATATTTACCTGCTGGAATCCAATATTCTAGAGACTGTGGAGGCATTTGAAAAAAAACTATTGTTTTTTTTTGTTTGTTTGTTTTGTTTTGCTTTTTGCTTATGTGTCTGTACAGGAAGAGCCATGTTTCCCCACCTTCTATGTTTGAATGTTGCAGTTCATTATTTCCTGGATACTCCTGTTAAAGGGAGAAGTGACAGTAGGTCTTTCTGCATAAAATCTGAGATACACAGCTAAGTACCCAAGATACACTGAGTATATTTCAGGTGAGATGGTGTTTATAGAAGCTGTGGAATCCCCCATAACACTCTGTGCTATGGCCTGTGTGTGATCACCTGTGACCATGCTATATAGATCAGGGTGACACTAGATAAAGAACTCTCTTTTAACCATTAGAAGATGAGAAACAAAGATTTTTTAACCCTTCCAGACAGGAGAAAAATAAAATAGATAACAGATTTGAAGTTTGTCAGTGTTTTAGATCAAATCCTGGAATAATTTGAACCCAAGGAACATTTGTTCCTTGTTCTTTTTGACTTGTAAGTATATATCCCTATTCACATATCATCCATATACACATATATCACTGCAAGACATGTACGTCTTATATTAGCTAAAGTCTCTGGTGCTTCTGGAAATCATTTCACACAAATTGATTTGATTTATGACATCTATCTCATTAGCCTCATTACTTTTTACTGTTTTGATTTCTATTCTTGACTTTTGATTTTGAGTGAGATGTTGAGAAATATTATGAAGTTGGGTAGGGACAGATATGGGGAAACTCTGGGAGGACTTGGGAAAAAAGAAAGAACATTATTAAAATGTATTGCAGAATTTTTTTTAAATCAGATTTACAGATAAAGCTTTAAGTGTGGTAAGCAAATTTGTTTCACAAAAACAAGTTAACCATTATAACGTATGACAAATTGATAGGAAATTATTTCATGCCATTTTAGAAAGAAATTTCTAGAAACCTTTTTCTGAACAGTGTAATTCATTTCAACTATTGTTATTTGTATCCTATCTAATTCATATTTAAAATGAATGTTATCTATATTAGTTGGTCTTTTCAATAATATGGAACCAAGTAAACAATAATAGGAAATTTGCCAAACTTCTGTGGCATCTGTCCAATACTGGTTAATTAGTTTGTTATTTATTTGGTTCTTGCTAGTTACATTGAAGGACAGTAGACCAATGTTGAGGCTATGTAACAGCCTTTGAGGACACTGTGTAACATTATTCAGAAAAAAAATATAGAATGTGAGAAAAAGCAAAAATTGACATGGAATATGGAAGTCATCAACAAAAGCTTGTAAAAGCTTTGCTTTATAAAACAAATTTAATTATAATTTAAATTAAAAAATGAAATATAATGATGACACACCAGGGCTTAACGCAATGATTCAATAACTTGGGAAAACCTTGATTATCACTGGTATTTGGAACACACACATACTCTCTCTCACACACAGAGATACATAATTGAATATATTATATTTTGTTCTATTTTCCTTTTTCTTGAATATTGCAAATTGATTGCAAATAACCCCACCTAGTCTAGTATGCCTATCATGATTGCAAATATATTTCATCACAAGATTCTCACTTATTTTATTTATCATGACATCTCAGTACTTGTGGCTTTCATCCTCACAGTGACAACTACAGCAAGGTTTGGAGAGCTTTATTAGGGTTCTTTGGATTGGATTGTGAAATAAAATTGCTAGAATAAAATACTTATTTGAAACACTTTGCAAACTTGTCATAAAGCTGTGTTTTTTAATTTTAATTTTTATATTAATTACAATTTATTCACTTTGCATCAGTGCTATAGCCATCTCCCTCATTTCCTCCCAATCGCATCTTCCATCCTTAATCTCCTCCCATACCCCTCTCCAAGTCCACTGATAGGGGAGGCCCTCATTACATTCCATCTGACCCTAGCTTATCAGGTCTTTTAAGAATTGGCTGCAATGTCCTCCTCTGTAACAGAGCAAAGCTGCTCCTCCCTTGGGGGTGGGGGAGGTCAAAGAACCATCCATTGAGTTCAAGTCAGAAACAGTCCCTTTTCTCCTCACTAAGAAACCCACTGGATTCTGATACTGAGCTGCCATTGGCTACATCCCATCAGGGGTTCTAGGATACATCTATGCATGGTCCTTGGTTGGAGTGTCAGTCTCAGGAAAGACCCCTGTGCCCAGGTGTATTTGATCCTTGTGGACCACCCTCCGGGTCTTACTATCTCTCCCTTCTCTCATAAGCTTCCCTGAATTCTGCCCAAATTTTGGTTATGAGTCTCAACATCTGCTTTGATACACTGCTGGGTATTGTCTTTCAGAGGCCCTCTGTGGTAGCTCCTGTCCTGTTTCCTGTTTTCTCCTTCTTCCAATGTCCATCCCATTTGTCTTTCTGAATGAGGATTGATCGTCTTACCCTGGGTCCTTCGTCTTGCTTTCCTTCGTCAGGTGCACAGATTTTAGCAGGTTTATCCTATATTATAGTTCTAGTATCCACTTCTTAGTGAGTATATGCCATGTGGGATATACTCACTCAGGATAATCTTTTCTAGATCCCCCCATTTGCTTGCAAATTTCTGATTTCCTTGTTTTTAATTGCTGAGTAGTATTCCATTATGAATATGTACCACAATTTCTGTATCCATTCCTCAGTTGAGAGACACCTGGGTCGTTTCCATGTTCTGGTTCTTACGAAGACAGCTACTATGAACATAGTTGAGCAAATGTCCTTGTTGTATACTTGAGCATCTTTTGGCTATATGCCTAGGAGTGGTATAGCTAGATCTTGAGGAAGGGTCATTCCTAAGTGTCTGAGAAAGTGCCAGATTGATTTCCAAAGTGGTTGTACAAGTTTACATTCCCACTAGCGATGGAAGTGGGTACCCCTTTGTCCACATCATCTCCAGCATACATTGTTGCTTGAGTTTTTGATCTTAGCAATTCTGATGGGTGTAAGATGAAATCTGTGCCTTTATCTTCAGTTATTATTATTATTTTTTTTTTTGCTAATGGCATGGGATTCCATAGTCCATAGTCAGTGTGTTTCATTATTTTTGGTATTTTATGATTGCTCTTTGTCTTTGTAAGTATGTAAGTAAAACATATTTTATTCTTCTTAGGTGTCTAGATTTTAGTATGCTTATCCTGTTGTTTTTCTTTTTTACTGTATTTTTCATGTCTTCTATTTTTTTTTTTTTTTGCTTAGAGTAGCTAATAATTTTTCATTTTTCTACAGCTTATCAAAGCACTATTTAATTGTGGTTCTTTTTTGTTGTTTCTAAGCAATTTTTTTCTGCTTTCAAATGTCTTTCAGTCTATTCTATTTAAATTTATTCTTTTTATTTCTTAAGCTGTAGAGTGCATTTTTAAGTCATTGATTTTCAATTGTTCAAAATTTTGATGTAGATATATATACTTTTTACAAATCCACTTTTTTAATTTTTTTAATTATTAGTTACATTTTATTAACTGTATCCCAGCTGTATCTGCTCCCTCATTCCCTCCCAAACCCTCCCTCCCTCATCTCCTCCCTGCCCCTTTCCAAGTCCACTGATTGTGGAGGACCTCCTCCCGTTTCATCTGATCCTCTTTTATCAGGTATCTTCAGAACTGGCTACAAAGTCCTTCTCTGTGGCCTAGCAGAACTGCTCCTCCCTTGGGGGGGGGGAGGTCAAAGAGCCTGCCATTGAGTTCCTGTCAGAAATAGTCCCTGTTCCCCTTACTATGGGAAACCAGTTGTCTACTGAGCTACCACGGGCTTCATCCACGCAGAGGTTCTAGGTTATATCCATACATGGTCCTTGGTTGAGTGTGAGTCTCAGAAAAGACACCTGTGCCCAGATATATTTGGTCCTTGTGGAGCTCCTATCCTTTCCACATCATACAAACTCCCCCTTCAAATCCACTTTTATGTATTTACTTTTCATTAGTTTAAATCCAGGAAGGGAACAGCATCACATGGATTCTGTGTCCAGTGGCCTTCGAAGGAAGGCTGCCTCGGAATTTGGCACGAACCATGCCACTGTTCCCATAGGCCCCAGTTACTTTTCCCCCAGATCACTCTGGTTTTGTTTGCGTGGCCTCCTGGAGTCACTTTGCTTTATCCACAAAGCACATCTCTTGCCTAGAATTCCGTTTCATCTTGAGCATAAACACTTTCAATTTTTTTTAATTTTTTTAATTAATTCTTTATTAATTACACTTTATTCACTCTGTATCCCCCCTGTGGTTCCCTCCCTCCTCCAGTCCCAATCCCTCCCTTCCTCCACCCTCTGCATGCATGCCCCTCCCCAAGTCCACTGATAGGGGAGGTCTTCTTTTCCTTCCTTCCGATCCTAGTCAATTAGGTCTCATCAGGAGTGGCTGCATTGTCTTCTTCTGTGGCCTGGTAATGTTGCTTCCCCTTCAGGGGGAGGTAATTGTCTCTGACATGAACTAATTGGCCTGCTCTTTAACACTTTCAATTTTAAGAAGAGAGGTATGCTCTCTTTGGTTCTGGAGACCTCGCTTGTAGCCAGCAAAGATGGCCTTGCACCACAGCCTTCCGGACACATCTGCTGCTTAGAAGTCCTGTTTCCAGGAGGCCTCCACAGGCGCCAAAATGGCGGGAAGAGCAGTAAGACTGTTTTATGACCCAAAATACTGGCATGTTGTGATTTCATTTCAACGTGACTCCAGTAATTTTTTTTTCTCATGTTCATTTCTTTAGTGTCACAATTATCATTTAGTAGTATATTGTATATGCTCCATAAGTTTGTATGCTTTTTCTGGTTTCCATGATCACTGATAACTAGCTAATTTACTCTATTATGATTAAAGGAAATGAGTAAACATTATCTCAGTTTTCCTTTATTTGTTGAGCTAGTGCGTACCTAGTAGAGTTTTCCATGAAGAATAATTTTTGTTGTTTTTGAAAGTAAGCATATCCAACAAAATGTGCTAGATGCTAAAGTCCCAGTGTAGAAGCAAAGGCAACACATTATTGTCAATATTCTAATGAAAAAGACCTAGAAAAAATTCCAGACAAATAATTCAGATTAGTGATTTTTACGTTTCTCAAACAACTGAACAAAGATATAGATATACAAAAGAAGAACAAAAGCAGATACCTGAGTGAAATGAGTACTCTAATTCAAATCAGGAAAACAGATTTGGTTAAAGAAACAGAACTGCTAAAGAAAACCTATGCTGAAAAGATGTTGGAAACAAAAATTAAATAAGTTACCCAAAAACCTCTGTGGAAAGTCTCCTTAAAAGAATAGATTATGAGAAAAATATAATGATAGTGCCCAGTGAAAAACAGTAGGAACTGGACACCCAGAAAACTGCAATGATAATATTTTAAATGGAATATTAGTGGAGCATGGAAGAGGTCTGGAAAAAGATGGTGGGACATACTTTCAAATTATATTCATAGAAGAAGGAGAATCTAACAGAAATCTCTTTAAACATAAATAAAGAGATGCCTATATATCTACAAGAGCCCTATAAATGATTACACTTACAGGATGGGCAGAGAAATACCATGAGATATAGGGAAGACACCAAAACCACAGAGAAAAAATGAAACTGTACTGAAATCTAAAAGAGACAAAGACAGGCTCATTGAAATGGTGCATTATTATTGGATATAAACCTTTAAGGTTATGAGTTCTTAGAAAGATGCAATTCAAATTATATCTCTAAAACAATAGAACTGCCAACTCATATTATACCCAGAAACACCATCTATTTAATTAACAGAAACATGTGAGTTGTCTACAGTAGAAACAGAATAAATAATTTATAATCCCCAAGCCTGTGATACAGAGCATATTTGAAGGAATTATTTGGACTGAGGAGAAGGATTAAACACACTCAAAGGGACACGGGCAGTTAGTAAAAAATACCAAATCAGTAAATCATAAGAATAGAGTCCTCTATAAACAACAAAATGATAATTTATAAACTTCTGAGATATAAGTAAATGATTTCACATTTTCAAGTAAAAACCTTGCTAACTAAGCAATTGGGCTATAAACCCAAAACCTGTCACTTTTCTGTCCATAGGGAATGCATGCTGCCATTAGCATTAAACACTGTCTTTGGGTAAAAGGATGAAAACCAATATTTTAAATATATGGGCCTAGAAACTATGTAGTTTTAGATTAACTAATATCTGATAAAATCATCTTTCAACCAAAATATTTTAGAAGATTTGAACACCACAATATTCATTAAACAAATAGGAGGACATTACTATTATAAGGTACATGCACACACACACACACACACACACACTGCACAGAGATGAACCTAAATTCAAGAAATGAATCCTACCAAATTTACAAACAAATGTCACCACCAAAATAATGATGTGTTGGGTGGGTGAGCTCCACAGGCAGCCACTCTCTTTTGTCACCTCCACTATGGCTTTCCAGACATGAATGACATTTGAGCAGCTATCACTCATCATCACTTCTCCTCCTTCCTCACTACTGAACTGGAACTCAGGAAGTCTGAGTTGCTTCACATTACCCCTCAGACCACAGTTTCTACTGTGTGGCTCAGCCCTGACACTTTTTTTTTTCATCATCCAAACCTGTACTTTAATGGGTGGAGAAACACTGGGGGTTTCCCTACCAGATCTTGATGATTTTTTTTATTTTTTTATTAATTATACTTTATTTACTTTGCATCCCCCTCTCTACTTCCCTCCCTCTTCCCCTCCCAAACCCTCCCTTTCTTCTTCAAGTATTCTCCTTCCCAAGTCCACTGATAGGGGAGGGCTTCTTTTCCTTCCTTTTGATCCTAGTCTGTTAGGTCTCATCAGGAGTGGCTGCACTGTCTTCCTTTGTGCCCTGGTAAGGCTGCTCCCCCACTCAGGGGGAGATGATCAAAAACCAGGCCAATCAGTTCATATCAGAGATAGTCCCTGTTCCCATTACTATGGAACCTACTTGGAGACTGAACTGTCATGGGCTACTTCTGTGCAGGGGTTATAGATTATCTCCATGAATGGTCCTTGGCCCTTCCCTCAGTCTCAGGGAAGAAACCTGTACTCAGATATTTTGGTTTTGTTACTCTCCTTGTGGAACTCCTGTCTTGTGGAGCTCCTGTCCTCTCCAGATCTTGCTATTTCCCACTTCTTTAATAAGATGCCCTGCATTCTGCCAAAGTTTGGCCATAAGTCTCAGCATCTGCTTGACATCTTCTTTGGGGCCATGACTTCAGCTGTTCCAAAATTGATGCCTATGTGCTCCTGCTCCTGATCGATTCTGAGGTGTCCCATGAGACAATAACACCTCTCTGGACTAAGTAGATGTACTAATGGACTACTCTTTGGACCAGCTTCCTTTTCCTGGTTCTTTTTAAAGCAAACTATGCTGGAATCTTAGATTTTGACCATCAGTGCAGTGCAAATGAATACAAACTGTTCAGCATCATTCCTAGGTAGGCTGAAGCTGAGTGGGAAAATCATCAGGAAGTCGTCCCAATTCCAAAACCCAGTTATTGCTTCATGAGGTAATTATCATTCTCCTTTCAAATGTTTTGAGAAGATTGTCAGGAATGGTGCCTAAATTTTGGGTGTCAGAGATACCAGCATTTTAGTGTATCTCTTGAGAGTCTTTCAAAGTAGATTTCTCTTTTGATTGGAAATTCATATTCACATATTAGACTTAAATAATCTTTATCTCAAAAAATATGCACAATGCTATAAAGTATATCTATCACACCCTGGATGGAAAAATAAGCTATATCCTTCCATCTTAGGCCCTCTCACTTTTGTGAACATTTTTGCAACTCATACTACACTATTCCAATGATTCACTAGTACAAAAAAAATGAACATGCCAAAAATAATTATTTTCTCTCAAAATCAAATTGGACAAAGGTATTGATATTTAATTGCATCACCCCATCCATAAATGCAAACATAAAGGCAACCTAATAATGCTTCATATTTCCCAGATTTATTGAATTAAAATTTCATTATTCAAGTAGGTTTGAACAAACAATAAATAGCATATATTTAAATATCATAAAATTTGAGGCATACTAAGGGATTACACACCTGGAAGTTGTGGATGAAAAAAGGGTGTTAGTGGAAATAAAAAGATGAGAATTAAATATTGTCTACATGACATAATTTGATTTTGTTATTGTAAGAATATAAAGATTTAAAAGTTGAATTCCTAGAAGCCACTACCACAGATGGATCTATAACAAGAAGGTTGAAATGTTGTAGAAGCTAAGTATGCTGGGTAGTAGAGTCTAGAATCACAACCCAGAGATCTGAAGCCACTGGATCTACAGCCCCCGAAGTAGCAACTTCTAGATCCATAGCCCAGGGAATGGCAGCTGCTGGACCCAAAGCCCAGAGACCCAGCATATGTCCCCTGGCAGGGAATGCAGGGTGTGCAGCTCCTGGGGTAGGAGCAGGGCATCTGGCAGGGGCTGGACACCACACAGGACCTTTGGAAGTTGGTGGGCTCAAAACAGGTCTCCTGACAGCCACTGCTGAGAGAGGAGCCCAGCTGGCAGGTGCTGGGAGAGCAGCTGGTGGTGGTGTAGACCAGGTTGCTGGGGTAGGAAGAGCCACAGGAGGATCCTGAGGAGGGCAGGCAGCGCCTAAAGGAGCGGGAGGAGTAGTTTCCAGAGCAGCAGCTGGAGGTCATGTTGAGTGGAGATGTGAACTCAACTGGATGTAACAGAGAGAGTCTGAGTTTGAATGCAACTTGTGTAGAGTTGGGTTTATATACTCTCAGAAGCAGGTGTGGTACCCAACACAGCCACCCTGACATATTTATGTGCTTCCTGGCTTACAAATGTGAAACTCAGTAATCTCTGTAATTGCAGCTGCATTTGAATAGTACTCTGCTCACCATGTTTATGGGTGTTGTCACTTTATTGAAGTAAAACTTGATGAGCTAATCCTATGCCAGACATGACATGAAAGTTTTACAGTAACGCATTTCTATCATGTGCCCCCCCCCAAAAAAAAATCCACCCTTTCCTCTTGACATAAATTTTATGTGTTTTGTCATATGCTGTTTTGAGGAAAATAATTTTCTTTATGGTGTGTAGCATGAGAGCAATTTACTGTTCTTCTTGTTAATGAATGGGAATTATTACTTTGTGTTTCTTAGACAACCTACTGAAAACAGACCTTACTTATTCCCATCCTTCTCATTTTCCAATATTCTATGTGGGTAGCATAACATTTTCTATGTGGATAACTCTAGTAGCAAGATAACAAATTAAAAATAAGAAAATCATGAACATTTGCAGGCAAATGGTGGGATCTAGAAAAGATCATCCAGAGTGAGGTATCCCAGAAGGAGAAAGACACACATGGTATATACTCACTTATAAGTGGATACTAGACCTATAATATAGAACAAACATACTAAAATCTGTGCACCTGAAGAAGCTAAGAAAGGAGGAGGACCCTGGGTAAGATGATCAGTCCTCACTCAGAATGCAAACGGGATGGACTTTGGAAGAAGGAAAAAACAGGAGAGAAGACAGGAGCCTAGCAAGGAGGGCCTCTGAAAGACTCTGCCTTGCAGGGTATTAAAGCAGATGCTGAAACTCATAACCAAACCTTGGGCAGAGTGCAGGGGATCTTATGAAAGAAAGGGGAAATAGAAAGACCTGGAGAGGACAGGAGCTCCACAAGGAGAGAGCAACAGAACCAAAAAATTCGGGCACAGGGGTCTTTTCTGAGACTGATATGCCAACCAAGGACCTTGCATGGAGATAACCTAGAACCCCTGCACAGATGTAGCCCATGGCAGTTCAGTGTCCAAGTGGGTTCCATAGTAATGGGAAGAGGGACTGCCTCTGACATAATCTGATTGGCCTGCTCTTTGATCCCCTCCCCTTGAGGGGGGAACAGCCTTACCAGGCCACAGAAGAAGACAGTACAGCCACTTCTGAAGAAACCTGATAGACTAAGATCAGAAGGAAGGAAAAGAAGACCTCCCCTATCAGTGGACTTGGGGAGGGGCATGCATGGAGAAGGGGGAGGAAGGGAAGGATTGGGAGGGGAGGAGGGAGGAACTACAGGAGGGATACAAAGTAAATAAAGTGTAATTAATAAAAATGTTTAAAAAATATATGTTAAATAAACTAACTAAATAAATAAATGAAACCTGTTGATAGATAATAGAAAATAAGATGAGTGGTCATGTAGTGTGTGATTGATGAAGATTTTTTTATCATACATTCTCTCGCATATATACTTTATATTTTGTTTACATATTGAGATGGAGAGAGACAGAGAGAGAGACTGGGTGAGTATCTGCTAGTAGATGTGCGAATAAGAAAAATTATCAAAATATACTATATGCAAGATTTTAATATAAATAAATAATTTTTTAATTTATTTTAATTTTTTATATTAATTACAGTTTATTTTCTTTGTATCCCAGCTGTAGCCCCCTCCCTCATTCCTTCCCAATCTCTCCCTCCATCATCTCCTCCTCCCTCTAAGTCCACTTAAAAAAAAAAAACAAATGAAATGATTAAAAAAGTTTCATTTGGAGCTTTTATCTAGCTACATCTACTTTCTGCTAAGATTAATCCTGTCCTTCTCACATAACAGTTACAATTCATGAGAGCAAAATTGAAATGTTGATGCTTTTTAAATTATCACTTAATCTTACTAGGTGAGATAATGTGTTGATGCATCTATCTAATGCATAGCAAAGCAATTGTTTTATATCATTTTCACCCACATCAATATTATGGAGTTATTTTTTCACCTCTGCTTATAGAAAAAAATGAAACGAACTAAAGTCAAAGCAAATAACACACCATTGTATGTGAAAGCAGTATTACTTACTATAAGATAACAATCTATTTTATATTAGACATAGTAAGTTTTTGTTTTTTATTTTTATTAATTACAATTTATTCACTTTGTGTCCCCCCTGCAGCTCCCTCCCTCCCCCCTCCCTTCCTTCTCCTTCTCTACCCATGCCCCTCACCCAGTCCACTGATGGGGAGGTCCTCCTCCCCTTCCTTCTGAACCAAGTCTATCAGGTCTCACCAGGAGTGGCTGCATTGTCTTCCTTTGTGCCCTGGTAAGGCTGCTCCCCACTCAGGGGGAAGTGATCAAAGAGCAGGCCAATCAGTTCATGTCAAAGACAGTCCCTGTTCCCATTACTATGGAACCTACTTGGACACTGAAATGTCATTTGCTACATATGTGCAGGGGTTCTAAGTTATATCCATGAATGGTTCTTGGTTGGAGTATCAGTCTCAGAAAAGACCCCTGTGTCCAGATTTTTTGTTTTGTTTTGTTGTTCTCCTTATGGAGCTCCTGTCCTCTCCAGGTCTTACTATTTCCCACTTCTTCCATAAGATTCCCTGCACTCTGCCCAAAGGTTGGCCATAAGTCTCAGCATCTGCTTTGGTCCCCTGCAGGGTAGAGCCTTTCAGAGGCCCTCTCTGGTAGACTCTTGTCCTGTTCCCTGTTTTTTTTCCCTCTTTTGATGTCCATCCTCTTTGCCTTTCTAAATGGAGGTTGAGCATCTTATCCAGAGTCCTCTTTCTTGATTACTTTCCTTAGATGTACAGATTTTAGTATGTTTATCCTATATTATATGTCTAATATCCACTAATGAGTGCATTATGTATCCTGTGTGTCTTTCTCCTTCTGGGATACCTCCCTCAGGATGATCTTTTCCAGTTCCCACCATTTACCTGCAAATTTCATGATTTCCTTGGTTTTTTTTTTTTTTATTGCAGAGTAACATTCCATTGTGTATATGTACCACAATTTCTGTGTCCATTCCTCAGTTGAGGGACATCTGGGTTGTAATTTTTTCAAAAACATGAATCCAACAATTTGATTGCATAATCTGGTCAGAGGAATTCTAATAAAGCTTTTCAAAGCTTTACGATTGTTGTGACAGTGATGACAAAGGTCACTCATCTTGAAAATAGATTGAGAATTCTTTGAGGAAGTTCATTTGTGATTGTGATGAGCACATTACTTGATATTGTCCAGCCAAATGGGCACTATTCCAACACTTAACATGGAAAAAGGTAAATTTGAAAAACCTGTGTATTTCAAGGTATTTTGGAAACCAAGGTTTTCCATAGCTTGTCAATCACTGCTTCCATCTCTGTTCTATCATCATTTAAAAGTCTCCATTTCACTGGCTCATAATTTACTATTTGAATATTTATATTCAGACTTTAGGTTATTCTTTAGGCTTTGGTATATGAAACATTTTGTTTTCATAATGGACATGACTTAAAACAAATAAAATGTATGCATGAAATTGATACACAACACATTTCTTCACCTGCTAATAATAAGCAATAATTTTAAACCAGTCTTGTTATATTATTTTTACTCCTGGAAGTACGCTTGGCTGTCTAATAACATTGAATATACACTTAATACATATTATTTAGATTTAGTCTGAACACAGCTCCCAAAATAAAACCCTGAACTTTAATAAATAAGCAAAACAATTGAAATAATTTCTTCTCTCAACCTTGCATGATATATTGAAGACAAAACGTACATCAGAATTCTCTGATATGTACCAAAATTATTTTAATTTTCAATGCTGTGTATGATTAGATATGTTGAGCATCCTTGAATTTGTTTTTCTTCTCCAAAATCCCCCTTAAAAGTGGGAGGACCAAATATATCTGGGCACAGGGTCTTTTCTGAGACTGACATGCAACCAAGGACCATGTATGAATGTAACCTAGAACCTCTGCTCAGATGTAGCCTGTGGTAGCTCACTAACCAATTGGTTTCCCACAGTGAGGGGAACAAGGACTATTTCTAACAGGAACTCAATGACTGGCTTTTTGGCCTCCCCACCCCCCAAGGGAGGAGCAGTCCTGTTAGGCCACAGAGGAGAGCTTTGCAGCCAGTCCTGAAGATACCTGATAAAACAGGATCAGATGAATGGGGAGGAGGTCCCCCCTATCCTTGCCAAGTGGACTTGGCAAGGGGCATGGTGGAGATGAGGGAGGGAGGGAGGGACTGGGAGGAAATGAAGGATCGGGACACGGCTGGGATACAGAGTTAATAAAATGTAACTGATAAGAAAAAAAATAAAATTCAAAAAGAAAAAAGTGGGTTCATCAAAAAGAACAGTTCCCAAGAGCTACACAGCCTTTGCTGATATGCTGAGGTCCCGTGAGCTCCACCCTGTATTCCAGCTGACCATCTGAGTCGTGTAGAAATACTATCCCCTAGACTCAGTCACTACTTGGGATCAGTTCATGCAAACCAAATTTCTACAGAAACCACAATACGGAGGACAATAGTCAACTGAGCCTTCTGTTCCTTAAAGGGTTAAATCAGACTAGCCCATCCTGGTACAAATTTGGATGAGAGTCTAGTGTCACCTAAGGCCATGGCAGATACACAGGATGTGAAAGGCTTACTCAATTCCTAAGGGCCAGAAATGTCCTGTACTCATGACTCTACTTCAATACTCTCTTAGCTGTCATCACAGCTTTAATCATTGTTTTTTTTTCTTTCTCATTTTGCTCATTTTCCCTCTAATTTTAGCTTTAATCTCAATTTATTTTGCACCTACTCTGTCCTAGTTAGTGGAGGTAAAGTACTTAATATATGGTATGGAATCACAAAAACTAATATTAGAAAAGGAGAAATGATGACAAGAGGTACGTTTTA